CAGAGTCGATTTCTCTCTCTCGGCATCTCCGAATCGAATCTGAGAAAGAAAGAATCCAAAATTTCTCAAGATCGATGTTGGAGAAAGAGAGAGAGATTCGTTGGGAATTAGATGCATGAAGTTGGATCGCCGTTGGATCTCAATTTCTTAACGCAGCTGATTTTGACGCTCTTCTTCCTCTCCCTCGGTCTCCTCTACTTTGTCAAAAGAACAGCGGCTAAGTACTTCGAGGTCGGCGGCTCCGGTGATTTCGACCGCCGTGATTTCATGGTTCCCGTCGCGGTCGAATGCGCCGTCTGTGGTAAAGCTTCTACCAAAAAGTGCTCTCGTTGCAAATCCGTTCGATACTGGTATGACTCTCTTTCTGGCTATGCAAAAGATTAGGGTTTTCTTGATTTGATTTAGACGTAGCCTGGAGATAGATATGGAACAATCTTGTTCTTGAAAGTTTCGGTTTTTAGGATTTTACCAATTGTTCATGTTTGAAAAGTTTGGATTTTTTAGGATTTTAGTATATCTGTTGTTCACTCTGTTCTTTGCTACTAGCTCTGCGGATTGCCAAACGTCAGACTGGAGCTCGGGACATAAACTAAAATGCAAGGTGTTTCGGATTACTGACTCATCATCACCGGTCGGAAGAGGTGATATCGATTTCAAAGCTTCTTTGTTTGGGAATAGGTCTGCTTCTAAGGTTGCATTGGTTCCTCAGCTGAGCCAAAGGAAGGCTAGTGTCAAGCCAGGAGATGTAATGCGTCTTCTTTTAAGTAATCTGATGTTAACTAAGAAGGTTTTGATCGTGCAAGTCTGATTCTGTTTGTATCTTTTGCAGGTGCTTTTCCCATACGAGCAGTTTGTTCGATATTTTAACTGGGATAGACCAACATTGGCTCCTTGTGGGCTCGTCAATTGTGGAAACAGGTTTTTGTTCATCTGGTTTCTAGTGTAGCTTTTAAGCACCAATTGAATGAGTTGAATTCCTTCAATCTGATTTTCTTTTGCTTTTATGTCAATCCCCTCTTTCAGTTGTTTCGCTAATGTGGTTCTGCAATGCCTTTCCTGGACACGCCCTCTTGTTGCATACCTACTGGAGAAAGGCCACAAGAGAGAATGTAAATACCTATTGGGGTTTTTTTTAATGCTTTACAACTCTTAATTTGGATTTATGTACTTCAACTTTGTTTCTCTGTTTTGTTTGACAGGTAGGCGCAATGACTGGTGCTTCTTTTGCGAATTTGATACTCATCTCGAAAGAGCAAACCAAAGCCGGTTTCCTTTTTCACCAATGAACATTATTTCGCGGTTACCTAACATTGGTGGAAATCTTGGGTATGGGAGACAGGAGGATGCTCATGAGTTGATGAGGTCAGTAACTTTTACTCATTGCTGTAAGCCTAGTGATCGAGTTTCTGTCAATCTCTCAGCTAATGCTTTTCGAATTCATGTGATTTAGGTTTGTAATTGACATGATGCAATCTGTTTGCCTCGATGAATTTGGTGGAGAAAAAGTGGTGCCCCCTCGCGCCCAAGAAACAACACTTATTCAATATATATTTGGCGGTCTCCTTCAGTCACAGGTGATGTTTCCTGATCTCAGTGGTAGGTCTTTGCAAATTTAATAATATAATGATGTGACCGTTAGATTCTAAAGAGGCTTGCAAGGTGAATAAATGGAAGGTTGATTTCCATAACTTAGGACAACGGTGACTCAAAAATAAATTTCTGTTTTGTAACTCTGGCCTCTAACCAATGACCTTCATTACCAAACTTGTTGTTTTTCGAGTTTGATAGCGCTCACCCTTGCACTTCTTGGTCCTAGCTAATTATTGTCTTCTCTTTTTGTAATTTTTCTTCTCATTTGCTGCATTTTTTTTAAACTTTTGCAGGTCCAGTGCACTGTTTGCAGTAATGTTTCTGACCAATATGAAAATATGATGGATTTAACTGTTGAGATTCACGGGGATGCGGTTTCATTGGAGGAATGTCTTGATCAGTTCACAGCTAAAGAGTGGCTTCAGGGAGATAACATGTACAAATGTGATAGGTATATATATTCCTTCTGAAGCCTTATTTCTTCCTAACCAGAGATATGGTTGATATGCTCATTCTGCTATTCGAGTGTCTCTCTTATCCTTTATTCTCTCTTTTCCAGATGTAATGACTATGTGAAGGCATGTAAGCGCCTTTCTATTCGTTGTGCTCCAAATATTCTTACAGTTACCTTAAAAAGATTCCAGGTTTTAGCTCCATTCCTCTCACTTTTGCTCTCAGTTAGTCTCTTTGAATTTGCCTATTCTTCTATCGTCGATTGGGTAATAAATCTGAAATTATGGGCAGGGTGGGAGATTCGGTAAACTGAACAAGAGAATTAGCTTTCCCGAGACAATTGATCTTGGCCCTTACACGAGCAGCGGAGGAGAAGGATCAGATGTATACAAACTCTATGCCGTGATTGTGCATCTTGATATGTTAAATGCCTCATTTTTCGGTCATTACATATGCTTTGTTAAGGACTTCCGGGGAAACTGGTATAGAATAGACGATTCTGAGGTAAGAATCATCTTTTATAAACTCATGTTCTTTTGTTTGGCTATTACGAATGTTGACATAGATGAGGATTCCATTCTGAGAAAACTAGAATTTTCCGAGATCTTCTAATTCCGTCTGAAAATAATCGCAGGTGGAAAACGTTGAACTAGAAGATGTTCTTTCTCAACGAGCATACATGCTCCTCTACAGCAGGTAGAGCTTCTCACTTTTCTAATTTTTGTTGACAAGAAGAATTCTCTATCCTTTTGCCGAGTTTGTTAATTTTACTATAACAAAGAATACAAATAAGAGAAGTAGCTTGAACAGAATATTATTTCTGATGTTGGTGCAGAGTTCAGACCAGACCATCGAGTCTTAGATCCGAAGAAGTTCAAGATGAGAAGAAAGCAGATACATCGAACACAGAATCTAGCCAAGATGGCTCTGTTGAGAGTTCCGGGGTGGGAGCAAATGACACTAGTGTGTCCTCCCTGTGTAACGGCATGATCTCACATTCGGAAGACCCAGAATGCAAAAAAGAATCATCATCGTCACCATTGGCAGTTTCCCTACCTGTCTCTGAAAAAGGAAATGAGGTTGACGAAAGGGTTGATACAGTAGATTCAGAGTCGATCCTTTCTATTGAGATGGAACATGATTCTGGAACTGATCATCAAGAAGAAGTAGCAAATGAGAAAGACGATCCAGCGATTGAAAATCTTGCCGTTAATTCTTCTTGTTCAGACATTGCTACCTCATCTCCATCTGCTCCTACAGAGTCCAAACCCTCTGCTACAGAGAAAGAAGATTCAGACACCGAGATGATCGATGCACAATGAATCCAAAAAGATGGTGGAATCACAACATTTTCCATGGCTCTTGAAAATCATTGATGAGGGAGCTTCTAACTTAACAATAATCCTGGCAAAATTGTTTTAGAACACTGCGACTTCTGGAGATTGAAGGATATAAAGATTTGGGGGGGGGGTTCTAGAGTTTTGGTATTTACAAGAAATCTAGGGAACTTACAAACCCCAAGGATTGATACTTTAGTCATATGAAAGAGAAACTTCAGGATCCGGAAGTAAGTAGGTAAGTTATTCTTTTGATATTCATTTGTCTGTTAAAAATAGATTTTACCATTGGACCCAGAACTCTCATAGCATGAAAGATTAATGGAGGAACATTTACTCCCAAGTGTTTTTGGTTTACAGAAATCAAACCAATTTGATTTGTGGTCAGGTTTATTACAGTTTCTGGTTTTAAATTTTTTTAATCACTATGCAAAAGATTTTGTTTCTTTTTGGTAAATTCGGTTTTTCATTTTGGTCGCAAAAGTAATTTAATTTGAACACCGAATTAGGCTTAGTTTAGTTTGGAATCAGTATTTCGGTTGGATCCAATTTATTGTATAACCATAATGTGAAATGAAAACACCAGTGTTCATCACTGTTTTTTGGGTGAATTTGTGCACTAGCCATATTGAAGACAAAAATTAAGAAAATAACACCTAAACACTAAATAAAGTGATTGTATCCTTATTTTTCTTCAGTGTCACTTCCACTTTTGTATGGATAAAGAGATTTATTATACCTTCATCAACATTTTTTCTTAATCTTTTTTTTTTGTTTCTTGTAGAAATTGATTCAATCTCTACACACAAAAAAATGGGAATCAGAGGTTCAATTTCTACACACAAAAAAAATGTTGATGTATGATTCGATATGAGTAGAGATTTTGGGTTCAATAACTATAAAAAAAAAATTATAATCCGGTTACAATATTGACACATTTACTCTTAGATTTTGAATTATAATTTTTTTTTGTTTATTTAGCAAATTGACCCTGTATAAAATAGAGTAGTGTATTTGACAAAAAAAAAAAAAGGATGGTGCTATTTACAATGAGGATACATAGGAAAAAAAAACTTAACCTATTCTGTTAAGGTTCAATTTGCTAGATAGCCAAAAAAAAATGATAATTAAAAAACTAACAAAAAACCCTAAAATTAATAAAAAAATTTTAAAAAATGCCATATGTCCCATAACACTTTACAAAAATGCCATTTTTTTCAATTTTTACAAGCGTGCCATCCTTTTTGTGCATATTCCTAGATTATCCTCGTTATAAACTGTCATTTTTTTTTTATTCTCTTTAAATCAATAACAATTTTTTTATCTTTTTTTCTCTCTCATAACTTTTTATCCTTTCTCTTTCTCTCGCAATTTTGTATCCTTTTTTATTTTCTCTCACTCATAACTTTTTTCTTCTTCTCTCAAAAATCAGATGAGATTTGATGTTTAGATCACATAAGTTGTTTCTTCTCTCTGAATCAGATCTCGAAATTATAAAATTAGATCTGAATTTTATTCTTACTGTCTCCGATCTGAGATTGGATTTGGTAGATTTTTTTTTTGTCACAGATCTGGTGGATATATGAAAAAAGAAGAAGAATAATATTCTTAGAAAAACTCAAAAGGAGAAGAAAAATCAAAAAGATACAAACGACTGTAAATTTTTGAGTTTTGGTTAACTATTGTGTATTTAGGGTATAGATTTTGGGGGGGGGGAAGAAGTTAGGATTTTCATTCGCATTATATAA